ACACCGAGGAAGTGTGTTGGCCAGAAGCCGAGGGGAAATAATGCCAAGAAGGAAGGAGGAATCTTGTCTATCAAATTCTGCTGATTAATTGCTGCCACTGGTAAATGTCATTGCATTCAGCCATGCAGTGGCCACTGGTGACCTTGACAAAAAAAAAAAAAAAAAAAAAAAAAAAAAAAAAAAAAAAAAAAAAAAAGTAGCATTGGAGAGATGAGGCCCAAGCCCCTTGGAGTGGGTTTCGAGGCGAAGGCAAGGAGGGAAGTTGGAGATGGGGGTTTGGGCTCTCTTTGGAAGAGCTTTGTTTAAAAGGGGTGTGGGAAGAAAGGACAGCAGCTGGCAGAGAAAGGGAGGTCAAAAGAAAGACTTCTCATGCTACCCATGTCATCCGCTGCCATTGATGGAGCACCTCCCTGCAGTGCTATAGTTTTACAAGGCAGATGCTATTACCTCTATCTTTCAGGCAAGGGAACAGATGTTAAGAGACAGTGCAAAACTTTATAAAACAAAATCAGTAAGGGGCTGTGCCAGGACGGACACCCAGGTTGTTATAGATCGGAAGCAGAGACTCTTAACGACAACCCTGTATTCCTTGCCTCTAACAGAGCCTGCTACCCACAGGACTGCCTCCCGCGGGGAGCTCAGACCTGCGATGGTACTGGCAAAAGTTAACTGCCAGGCTCCTCGTCCCAGCGAGCAGGGAGCTCCTCATGGTGCAGAGCAGTGTGCAAAGGGATCTGCGTCTCTCTCTGGTCCCAACCTCTAGGAAGGACGGATGATACAACATCCTTACCAGCACAGCACTCCATGCCGACAGCACTTCCATCACATCCAGGGAGCAGAGCCAACAGTAGTGTGCAGATCCTAGTTTCAGATTGGCCAGGTCAGTGGAGAGAAGTCCTGCCCTTTGGTGCCTACCACACTAGTGGGGATCCCAAGGGTTTCATAAATATTTGCTGCTCCTGCAGTTGCTACCTGAAATTGGGGTGGGGTGGGGGCGGGGGCACGGGCAGGGGTAGGGGGAGGGATCTGTCCTAAAGGTGTGCTGTCCTTACAATCCTTGAGTGAGTTCCTGGGGTTTCCAGCTATTGTCAAACCCCAACAGGTTCAGGATCTAATGGCCTGGGGTAGGCAATGACTTACTTTTCACTGTACACTTATTCCTTTCTTTATATAAACAATACTAATATTAAAATAAACTTAGAAACAAACAGAAGACACCCAACTGGCACAACAACTAATATTCCAAGGTTAAATCAGGCTGCAATATTACAGATTCTTTTTTTAAAATACATAATTTTTTTTTTTTTTTTTTTTTTTCCCCTCAATGAAACAAGTAAGTGGGCCCGGCATCTTGGTTTGCACTCAGGATCCAATTTCATTATAAAGCTGGATGGAAAGTCCCTGCGCAGAGAGACCGGGATGTGTGTCTGGGGGAGGGGTGGGAGTGAGGAGAGAAAGTGTCTTCCAGACCCAACATGACTCTGTAAGATGATGATCCTGACACCTCATGGGGGGAGGGAGGGCAGCAAAAGAGAGCAGGTGGGAGTGGAAGGAAACTCCCTCAGACAAGAAGAGGGCGCCCTGGAAACAGCCATTTCAATGAGTGCCAGACTGACTGGAAATGAGGCTTAAAAAGCATTTTAAATAGTAGCCCAAGGATAATTTGCTTAGCACACGGACCTCTACTGCAATTGACTCTGCTTGTTCCCTCTGCAATGTAGCATTAACCTCGTATGCTCAGTTATTACAGATCACGTACTACCTGTCATAAGGTCTTTTCAATGCTCACTAAAGAACTCCTCTGAAAGTTCTGTGCACACGCCGCCTTCCCAGCGGAGAACACCGATAATACTTTCAGAAAATGCTATTTAGGGGCCCGCAGCCCTGTCTCCAACACGCCTAATTTTCAGTTATTCTTAACTTTTAGGGGAAATTTCTTTTTCCATAAAATAGCCTCTATTGAGTGCATTCGCAAAGGCATTCTTTACATTTTTTTTTTCCAGAGGGCTATCCATCACCTCTGAGTTATGACTTAAGAAAACACTAGAAGCCTGATCATCAGAAAAAAGAAAAATAAACAGTAAATCCCATTTTAAATTGGAAACACTTGGATTTCACTTATAATCTTACATTTTTCTTAGTTACAGAAATAAAACATGCTCATTGAATATAAATTCAACCAATACAGAATAACATAAAGGATAACCTGAAAACTACCTTAAAATCCCATTCCTCAAAGAACGTAATTAACAATATATATGTAATTAACAGTATATCCTTCCAGATTTTTCTGTATATGTAATATATATGAATTAGAAATCCCTAACATGAACTGCTTGAAGTTGTGTGTGAAGTTTTGTGTGCATGTATGCATATGCATTTTAAAGGAAAAGGAACCCATAACTTTGATCAGTTTTCAAAGAAGTTTTAAAATATATATTATTATATATGTAATATAACATAAAGCATAACATATGTACAACTTATATATAATTCCTATTTAGTTTACAAAAACCTAATCATAATCTACATGTAATTCTGAAATTCATTTTCTCCCATTTATGGACAATTTTTCCATTTCAGAAGTAATTTTTGTTGTTCCTTATTTTTCATCATCACTTAGTTTTTCTCCCTGGAAGTGCCAGAATCTGGGGCTTGGAGACAGAAAGATCTGGATTGGACTGTGGGCTGAACCATTTACAAGTGCCCCAAGTTTGGCAAGTTATTCCGACTTTTAAAGTCTCAGTTTGTCATCTGTAGAATCAATTAGAATTATAATAGGATAATGGCAAGGAATAAGTAGATAGTTGGCACAAGCAATGACTGGCATCGAGCAAATATTCAATGAACACTGCTTTTGTAGGTAGAATTCACTTGGTCCAAAGTCACATATATAACTTCTGGAGAAGGATTTTAAAATCAGGATTTAGGGTCACAATAAAGTGGATTATTGAGAAGAAAGCTGAAACCACACTCTGGGATAAAATAATATTGCCCATTACTTAAGAATAAGCCAGCAAACAAATGATGATTCATATAGCTGTATATGTTGCAAATAATCAGGTGTCAGTTTTAACCGGCACGGCTAAGGCAGTTGCCATGGACTGAGCTGATCAGGACTCCTCTTCTCTCCTAGGATATTGAGAAGGTCACATTCTAGACAATGTTTCCCAAACTTTTGACATATGTGTACCCCTTCTATAATTTTCGTAACGCTGAGTACCCCTCGTACTCATGAGAACATAGAATTAGGCGCAGCTAAGCACGGTGCAGTGCATATCCCCACCAAACTCTTCCAGTACCCCTGGGGGTACGTGTACCACACTTTGGGAAACACTGTTAGACCATTCCATGCTGGGATTGGCCTTCCCATTCCAGTCTTATCACTCAGTTCTCAGACTTTGCATGTACAAAAGCTGCAAGTTCAATGTAAGCACAGAATTCCATTTCTTTTGCCTGATGCTGGTGGTTTGTCTCATTTATTAGCACAGAATGGCTTTGGCCTTTAGCTAGACCTGCAGCTCTCTCCACTCCCAGTGCCCCCTGCCCTGCTGTGTCCACTCTTTACCTCTGGCATACTGGGCAGCCCAGAGCAAGAGCACGCCGGTGTAAGACCCTGCCATGACCACCACTCACTGGGTAGTAACTGACTTCCAGGCCTGTGCTAAGCATTTCACACGCTTTATTTCTATAATCTCACACCAATTCTGGATGTTACCTCAGTTTTGCAGATACACACCTTGAGGTTTGATTAAATAAGGAATGTGTGCAAGATTACAGACTTAGTAAGGGGCAAGCTGGGAGTCTGAATGTCTTTATCCTGGAGCCCTGGAGCTCATGAATGCTACCTTCACAGCTCTTGCTTCTGCGTGGTGGGCCACGTTACGCTTGCAAGACTTTGGCAGGTAAGGGAGAAAACATCAATGCGGTGCCCACTGGAAGTTTCCCTGGGAGGGAGGCCCCCTCGTAGGGGGTCTTCCTGAAGGTTGGCACATTCACCTTCACAGTCCACACCTGCAGGTCGGAGCTGGGCTTGGCTCCTTCAGCTTTTCGGGGAGACCGGTGAGGTGGCGTTATCTGTCATGAGCAGAATAACGGGCAGTGAAGATGTCCAAGTCCTGAAACCTGTGAGCATGTCACCTCCTGTGGCACATAAGACTGTGCAGCTATAATGAAGAGCCTGGAGACGGAAGGCTCCCCTGGGTTTTCCAGGTGGGCAGTGTGACCACAAGGGTCCCGATAAGAGGGAGGTAGGAACGCGAGGGTCAGGGGAGAAGATGTGACAACAGAAGCAGAGGTTGGTGAGGCGGGAACCCAGAAGCTGGAAAAGGCAACAAAACAGATTCTTCCCCAGCATCTCCAGAATGGAGCTCTGTCCTGCAGATTCACTTTAGGCTCTGGTCCCCAACACTGCAGGAGAATCAGTCTGCTGTTTCAGGCCCTAAATGTCTGGTGACCTGTTAGAGCCCCCATAGGAAACCAAGCCAATGTACACATCCCAAGTGTCTTATAACAGCCCTGTTCCTATTACACCTGAAGTCCCGTGCCCGCTTTATCTAAATCCTAAGGCTAATGCTTATTGTATCTCAGATAGTCCATTAGTGACGTGCTGATGCACCTGCTTCTCCCTCTTCATAAAGAAAATGAATTAAAATATACCTGTGAGCTTTAAAGTGGACATTGCCCTGGACACTCTGGATATTTCCAAAACCTAAGAGAGAACAGCCATTTCCTTTCCTTTGGGAATTCATGTTAGGATCATCTAATTGACACATATCCATACACTGACCCACAGCTTTTCAAATCTGAAACAGGCAGGCATGATGGGAGGTGAATGCAAATTCCTTTTTTTTTTTTTTTTTTTGCTGTGAACATAGAGAAAAGCATGCCTCCATTTACATACATAAATTTAGAAGCACTGTGAAATCTCAAACAAAATTAGCCACCATAGAGGGGGAAAATATCAGATAAGCTCATTAACCGGGGGCGGAGCCACTTACATTCACAGGACTTGGGATAACGCTGGCCGGCGGACTGAAGGGGGCGCAGATGAGCACTGATAGAAGACCCAGCAGCCCAGGAGTAGGATTCAAGCAGCCGGAGAGAAGATCATGAGCAGATGGACGAGGCTTCTGCTGTTCTTGTCATGGAGAACGCATAAGAATCCTGCAGTTGGAAGGTTCCTGACATTACCATGGTTATTTGAATAAGTCAGGAAACATCAGATCCCTGAAATGCATCCTTTGTGGCCTTAACAGTTCAGAGAGAACTTGCTCCGCATCCCTGTGCTCTCCAGCTGGACACTGCCATCACCCACGTTTCTTATGCAGATGATGGACAGCTTTGGACAGCCAAGGGCCGTCAGTTGGTTCTCTTGAACTCATCCTCTCTCCAGTCAAGAGCTCCAAACAGCTGACCATGCCTGGCTTCTAGACTACCTCCCTTAAAAACATCTCAGCTAGAGCTTGAATTATGACCATTAGTCAAAAGTATTGTAATTATTCTTTTTTATTGATCTTCTTCCTTACCAACAATCTCTGTAAATTGGCTGCTTCTTATTCTCTGATAGAAAAAAAAAAAAAATTTAATACACCAGATCCCCACCCAGCTGGTGTGGCTCAGCGGTTGAGTGTCAACCCATGCACCGGGAGGGAAGTTGTGGTTCGATACTTGGTGAGGACACATGCCTGGGTTTCGGGTTTGATCCTCAGTGGGGAGCATGCAGGAGGCACTAGTTTGATGATTCTCTCTTATGATTGATGTTTCTATCTTTCCCTCTCCCTTCCTCTTTGAAATCAATTAAAAACATATTTAGGGGGGGAAAAATACCCAGATTCCCTATGCAAACGCCTTGTTGCTTTTCTGCAAAAGAGGAGGACAGCAAATAGTTGCTATTTCTTTACCAGGAAAAAAGAAAATTAGAGTGAGTGGCTTGTCTGTGTGTGCCAGCTGTCACTGGGAACAACAGGGACTCTCGACCCACTTGGCAAATGGGATGAACTTCCAAGTTTCTTTGTCTCCCCCAGGGCACAGGGCAGTCCGCCACAGTCCAGATTTCCCCACAAGTCCTGATCTCAAATAATTTTATTTTCAACACAGAGATTTGTCTAATCTAGCACTAAATGCGGCTTAATCCTTATGCTGGTTGAAGAGTGTTCACATCAATGTTTAAAAACTAGATAAAATCTTTAGGCTATGTTATAATTCTGAGTGAAGAAAATATGGTCATTAAACATTTACATATTATCAAGTGTAACTACTAAGGCTTACACTTAATCCTCCAAATCAATCATAATTTATGATGCACAGAGTTCAGACAAATGAGCTCTCTTTCTTGATCATTATAGCTGTGGATCTGAGCTAATTTCCTCTTCCTCCTCACCCAAGTTGCTGCTTCTCCTTCCACTGACCCCTCCAGAAAATAAAAATATAATGGGAACAGCTGTAGGGTGGGTGCAGATGGATGAAACCCACAGGCAATAACAAGTCCTGGCTGCCATTTAAGGCAGCTCCTTGGTTGATCAGGATCTGTGTGACCCTCTGCAGGGACCACGCTAGCGGGCATCATGGTACCTCCACATCAGCAAGTTCAGGGGAGGGATGAGGAAAGATGGGTGAACTCTCATTAAAATGCATCATTCTGCCCAGCCAGTGAGACTCAGTGTTTGAGCATTGACCTATGAACCAGGAGGTCACAGTTCAATTCCCGGTCAGGGCACACGCCTGAGTTGCAGGCTCAATCCCCAGTGTGGGGTGTGCAGGAGACATCTGATAGATGATTCTACCCCATCATTGATGTGTCTATCTCTCACTCACTCCCCCATCTATTCTGAAGTCAATAAAAATGTAGACCTAAAAATATAAAATAAAATGCATCATTTCAAAAATGCAATAACCCGAAACATAGAGGAAAGGCTCTTGTTATTTGGGAAACTGCTTAAAATAAACACTACCCATGATAAAAGAGTTGAAGAAAATTGTTCCACCTTCCTCTTCCACTTAAACCTTCCAAGCCTGTGGTTATAAAACATACCTAGGCAGCCTTTACTGCCACATGCCAAGATTTTCAGACTAGATATAACAGGCTTCACAGAACACCAATAGATGGGTCTATTTCTTCTCTCTCTCCCTCTCTCCCTCTCCCTTCCTCTCTGAAATCAATAAAAATATTAAAAAGTTAAAAACACATTTCACCATATCCTCCTCTTAGACATTTACAAGAAATTTAAAAGCACTGAAAAGTCCTCCAATAGAGAAATGCATTAAATTTCATTTGCTCAGTAAATAAATATGTTAACCATGGAACATCCCATGGACCCAGGTTTCTGTGGGCCCCACTGTGCTGAGAGGTCCACCATCTTAGAGCAGAATCAGGGGGCTCTGATTTAGAAAGAGCATTTCCCTAGCAGCACACAGCCTGTCAGAATTACCGCTAAGATACTCACTTCTGGGACCTCCTTGGCTTAAGCCACTCTCCAAGGAGACAGAGAACAAAGAATCTGGCTGGTTGTGAACAGAGAGCTCTCGAAGGCTATTCCTGAAACAAATTCTTTCAACTTTGGGCACCTTTCCTGGTTTCTGGGTCATGGATTTTCTTGGGATGTGGCTCCATAGCTTCTGACTTGGGTAGCTCTCTGTGCTTTTTGAGCCAAGTCTTGTCCCAACTTCATTTAGCTTCCTGGTGCCTGTCCTCATCCTTTGGTCCAAGGGCATCGTCTAATCCTGGGCTCCACAGCTTCAACCTACAACTCTGAGGCCAAGGGACTCCCTTCTAAGGTTTTATCCACTCTGGTTTCTGGGTCAACATATGGCTCACCTCCTTAAAGCTAACCTGTATTTCCTTGTGAGAATTAGTTAGCTGGGAGAGAGTAATGGTCCATTCCCATTTTAATCAAGAAAACTTAACAGAGATCCAGTGATTAGAAAGTCAGTGCACACTGATGCATTATATCATACTAGAGGCCTGATGTGCGAAGATTTGTGCAAGAATGGGCCTTCCTTCCCCCTGGCTGCTGGCACTGACTTCGCTCAGGCAGAGCCCTCTTTCTGCCTTCCCACGCTGCCCAGAGCCCTGGAGCGGCTGGGGTGGGGCAGAACGACGCAAGTGTCCTGCCCCTGGCTACTTGGTGACTGTGTATGCAAATTAACCCACCATATTTATTGGGTAAATTTGCATACTCACTCCTGCTAGGCTGGTGGGCATCACAAAAGCACAGTCAATTTGCATCTTACTCTTTGATTAGTGTAAATAGTATCTTGTTTCAGATCCTAACCAAAGAAGGACTGGCTGCAATTTTTACTTGTTTTCCAAATTTGGAAACTGATCATTTAAGAAGCAGTAACCTGTCCAAGGTCACAGAGCTTAAATAATAGTCAGTCTGACTTCAGAGTGCATGCTACTCTCTCTGAACCAATAAGCCTCTCTTGATTCCCTCCTCCAACCCTTACCTGTTCACTTTCTGAAACCACTGTCCAGGGGCATGGTACTTCTACATGGTCATGACCCTGGGGCAGCTCAGGGTTCCCTCCAGTACCCCTCCTTTACTCGTCTGGTCAACACATCATACCCTAGGTTTGTTCTTCTCTCCCTGTCCCTTCATCAAAGTGATGTGTTTCTGTTGGGATTAACTGGTAGACCACTCTGTGCTAATGTGTCCTTTCTGGTAACAAAATGCTTTCACCCAGGCTAAAAATATATATCTCCACAGGCTCTATTGGTGGGATGGCGAAGACCTGTGGGAAGAGACTATTGAGTCGGATTAGGAACCTTAGCATTCCATGAACCTCTGCTTACTTTGCCTGGGCCTGCACTCTCAACCCTCCTTGCACATAGCATCATGGGAGATTATTACTATTAAACAAAAACCCTATGCCATTGCTGCACCCCAAACTAAACGACTCGGAATGCTCAGGAAAGAGACCCCACCACTGGCATGCTATTAAATTGCTTGGCAATTCTCACCTGAGAGTAGAGATGCATACTCATTTCCTAAACATAGGGCTAGCTATGCACATGAAAACACCTTTTCTAAATCTTGGACTTCGTGCACCCCAAGGAGATGGGTGAAAGATGACAAGCGTGCTTACGCAGAGGAGGAAAGAGGTTTAGTAGTCATGGACTTGACTGATTACCACATGTTCTTGGGCCGAAAATCAGCTTCTTGGGGGTTTGGTTTCGCACCCAATAATGAGGGATTAATACTAACGTACCTCAAAAGTGTCTAATGGGAAATGACTAATCCAGACGGGGTATTAGTTGGGCGAAGCTAAAATGCTTCCATGACAAGCAAGGAGATTTGAGTGATCTGCCTCTTACACATTGCCAAGAAAGCCCCAGTAATTACTAGTAATGAGCCAGAGTGGAATGCAATGAAGCAGACGCCATAGACGCACTAATTACCAATAGATGGCTGCTGCACTCTCCTCCCATTAATGTCTTTCCTCTGGATAGCAATTTGGGAAAATAAATAAAAAGAAAAGAACACAGCATCTTGAAGATTCTTTGGCACACTCCCACACAGCCCATGCTATCTTATTAACAAACCATTTCCTGGAAACAGGTGTGCCCTGACTTTTAAAACATGGGGACCTGCAATAAAAGAAATAGCCAAAGTGTTCTTTCATTTTACAAGCGTCCTTGAAGTAGAAACTTCCTTTGTGCATAATTCATTAACTTAGTACCTTCCGGAAGAAAAAAAAAATCAACCCACAATGGAGATGTAACTCTGACATGATCACATGATAACCAGAGGGGAAATGTGATTTAATTTAAAAAACCTTCACAGTCACTCATGGCATTTGAAGTGAGGTTGGCGTCCATGAAGCTAGAAAAAAGAGAAAGACGGAGCCATATTTAGGTTGTGAGATACAGTTTCCAGCCCCTGACATCACCGTCTATGTCACAGGTGAGGGAGACCGTGGGCAGTGAGTCAGCATGGACGACTCATCGCCGTAGGTTGGAGGAGGTCTACCCAGGATGTGAGAGTTCTGCTGCTCAGGCTCTCCTCTCCTTCAGCTCCCATGTGGCCAGCACCAAGGTTAGTCTCCTTTGAATAAGAACCGTACTGACTCCAACACATCTGTTATAAGCTGAGTGCTGAGCTAGACTTTCGAAGGAAGGTGAGTACATAAGGCACACCCCCTGCCCTCTATTCTTGTCAATTTATGGTGGCCAGATAGCCAAATATGACAGCCTGGATCTTCTGGAAAGTGTCCACCACTAAGATTAGGGGTAGGGCTGCCAGATGAAATAGAGGACGCCCAGTTAAATCTGAATTTTAGTTAAACTACCAACTGTGCTTTAGTATATGTCCCAGATACTTCATGGGACACACTTATACAAAAAAAAAAAAAAAAAGACACAGCTCTCCCTATAGATATCACCAAGCTACAGTTACAAGGCCACTCACACAAGGCAAAAGAATAATTCATGTTTTTTAATTTAAAGTTAGAACTTTTCTATGAGAAAAATAAAAGGAAACACAATAAATATTCAGGATTTTATTATTTTTTTAAATATATTTTTATTGATTTTTTTTTACAGAGAGGAAGGGAGAGAGATAGAGAGCCAGAAACATCGATGAGAGAAACATTGACCAGCTGCCTCCTGCACACCCCCTACCAGGGATGTGCCCGCAACCAATGTACATGCCCTTGACTGGAATTGAACCTGGGACCTTTCAGTCCGCAGACCAATGCTCTACCACTGAGCCAAACTGGTTTCGGCAATATTCAGGATTTTAAAAGTAAATTGTCTAAAGCAAAAGGAAACAGTGATTAAATTATTACTATACATCCCTCACTAGCTCCTAGCCTTTTCCTAGCTTCCTGATACCATATCAAATCCAGCCTATCTTAAATTGACCAATTCTAGATCCTCCATAGACCAACCTTGTGGGTTGTAAGGATTCCTGCTGCCCTGCCCTCCCCCACTCCTGCCAACCAGTTTCTTGATCCCATATAGGGTGTCTTATTTCTGTTGCCAGAAATAAGATGTTTCTTACTCATGGACAACCCTTTTACTTCCGTAGATCATGCCAAATGTTCATCACTCACTTCTTCTAATCAGTTGTCTCACTGCCACATATCCTTCTGCAGTTAATCTATTCATTTACCAGAGATTTTAATCAGTGAGAAATATGTGTCCAGCTCTACACTAGGCATCATGAGAGATCGTAACCAACAAACAAGACATAGCTCTGGACCCTAGGTGCCTAGATTGCCCAGCCTCCTCAGCAGGACCATAACCTTTTCAAAGACTGGCTGGACCTACTACACTTGTAGTATCTTGCTTAGCTGGAATATCTTGGATGAGGTGGGTCATGTGCTGGCCACTGAAAGGTCTGGATGACTGGACCTCATCTGCCTGGTGTCTATAGTAAGCAAATAAGAGGCAGCTGGAGGAACCTTACCAGACCTTGGACACCAAAGAAATCTTTTTGTAGGTGCTTAACTTCAGGGCTCACCATATAGAGTTAATAAATATTGAAATAATATGTGTATGATCCAACACAGCAATTAGCTTTCTAAAGGGAAGGCGGGAAGCCCATCAGGAGGGGGTGACATTTAAGTAAGTGAGAAGAGAGTCGGGGGTATTGATTTCTCTGCTGCAGGAGGGACAGAGATGCCTCCTTGAGTAAGGGCACAAGGACAATATTTCTGAGGATTCCACGTGCTAGGCTTGACCAACATATGGAGCCACAAGCCAGTTGGACAGCTGCCGTTTTGGCAGCTTTGTCAAGAGGAAAAAAGACTTTGCTGAAGGAGCTAAATCTCACCTGACCGAGAGGAATTCCCTGGTCTTGGAGCACTGGAAATGGGACAGAAGAGAGTGTCAAGGAGATTGCAGGATCTAACAATAGAAAACGAGGCAGCAGATTAGGCAGAGGAGGAGGACTAAGCAGTGACCAAGGGAAAATGGCACAGGAACTGCCACTGACACTGGACTGGCCTACAGAGAGGGTCCCAGGCAGCAGGGGGCAATGAAGAAGGTTTCACTAAAGCATGGAGGCCGGTTTCAATGGAGCCCCAATCTTCTCCTAGACCAGCAACAGCATTAATATATAAGACACTGTCCCAAATTCACATACAGGCGTGGACCTAAACTGCTTATACTTTGATTGATAGCTGAACTATCTTTTCTTTCTTTTTAACTTTACTTGTTCCTTCTTATTTGGCACTGATTCCAGGAGGGGGGCAGTGAGGCCTGAAACAAGGGCTTCTCTAGTCTCTCCCCACCACCCCCCGACCCTCCAAGCCCTGGTGTCCATTGATTAGGGCCAGGAGTCCTGGAAGGCTCAGCTCCTTCAGAAATTATTTTAGTCAGATTAACTATTTATGCCAAATCACAGAAAACTATTTGATATGCATATACTTAAAGTTTAGTCCTCTATACAGTATTCCAGTCATCTCTAATTTCCCCGTATGTTCTAGCTAGTCGTTTCAGGAACAACTCTAAAACTTATGGATTTAAAACAACAACAATTTTTATTTTTGTTCATGAATCTGCAATCTAGTGCTGGGCAGGGATGGCTCATCTCTGTCTCCTTGGCATCAGGAGGGCTTAAGGCGGGGGGGTGGGGGGGGACCTCTAATGGCTGGGGCCTGGAGTCCTCCTAGAGACTGCCCCCTCACACTCCTGACAGTTGATGCTGGTTGTTGGCTGAGACCTTCAAGGAGGTGTTGGCTTTGACTCAAACTTGCGGTCTCTCAGGGGTCTTCAAACTTTTTAAAGTGGGGACCAGATCACGGTCCCTCAGAGAGCTGGAGGGCCGGACTATATGAACTACTAATTCCTACTGTAACACCTCGGCTGCGCTCACTGCCCAAAAAACCTGGCGGGCCGGATCAGACTCCTCTGCGGGTCGCACGTGGCCCGCGAGCTGTAGTTTGAAGACGCCTGCTACATCAAGCATGTCAAACTCACGGCGCGCGGGCCACATGCCTCATTTATTTGGCCCGTGTTAGCCTTTGACTTTGGTATGCCTGCTCTACATGGTATGGGCTTCCTCAAAGTATGGAAGCTGGCAAGTATCGTGTGTGAGAGAAATAGAAAAAAAAATAGCTGAGAGAAAAATAAACCGTATTCTTTCTATGATCCAGTCTTGGAAGCCACCTAGCATTGTCCCCACGACACTCCATCTGTTGAACCAATCACAGCGCGTGTGGATTCGAGAGGAGGGCAGTGGACTCCACCTCTTGATGGAGAGTGTCAAGAGTCTAGAGGAGCACGTGGATGTAGATATAATTACGTGGCCATTTTTGTAGAATACAACCTGCCACCACATGTAACATTCCTTCTAGGAAAAACACGATAGCCAAACACCTACAGCCCCATCATGTACCGCGTGACACTGGGCAATTTGCCTAAGCTCTTTGTGCCTCAGTTTCCTCATTTATAAAAACAGATGTTGTGAAGGGGGGAGGAGGAAAGTCATATTGAAAAGTGCTTATAAGACTTTCTAAGTGTTAGCTGTTTTCATAACACCAGAGACATACCTCCTCCAGCTAGGACAGTAGGACCTCCTGGTTCCTAGGGGGATGGTGGTGGTGGGGGCAGCCCTGCCAGAGGTAAGAAACTAATGATCACAGGACATGGCCAAGTAAGTTCACTTAAAAATCCATAAGACAGATACTAATATGATCCAGGTAAGAAAACTGTGACCTACGGAACTTGCCCAAAGGAACACCTACAGGTGGTACCCGACAGGATTTGTCCCAAGTTTAACTAGATGGAGAAGCCTGAATCCCTGGGTAACTGGGTGGAGCAGAGAGCTTCTCCAAAGTCCAATTTGTGGGTGAGCAGAGTGAACGGTGCTATAGTATATCATTAGGATTTGGGGCTGTTTAGTACAGCAGTTAGCTGATCTTGACTGGGTTAGTACAGGGAAGATGTTATGGATATTCTCAAGCACCACTAACTTAAAAATTCCCTTTCATAAAATGGAAAAGCTCTCTCTTTTTGCATAAGACCGAGTCTTTGCATTAAAAAAAAAAAAAATCAGTCTCTAGGTTTGTACCTACAAGTCTCATTTCTATCTGGAGGACAGATACAATAGATAGTCTTTGGCCCACTGGCAGTAGGACTGGGCATACTGAGCTGGATTCCTTGTCACTGATATGAACACATTATTTACAAATTAGTCTGGCTATTCACCAGCTGTAGAATGTCTCTTCTAAGGTTTGATTCTCATGTACAATCTAATAGTTCCCAGGTTGTTTGCTTGTCTCTTTTGTTTTGATGTTAGTTAGTTTGTTTTTCCTTTTAGTGAGGATTCTTTTTTTTATTACACTGGCCAGCTCAGCTGTAAAGGAGAAATCTTGGCTGCCGATACACAGAGATTTGGGTCTCTGGGCAGGGTCCCTATATAGTTAGACTGTAAGTTCCATGATGGTGGGGGACCTTGTCTGTCTTATTCACCATTGCATCCCCGGGGTCTGGTAGGCAGGCGCTCAAAACGTGCTGAACACACGAAAGACTGAATATTTGCACTGATGAGCAGGCAAACAAATCTCAGAAGTCCATCGGACTCTTTATGCCAGATAGACCACTCAAGGACCAGCTGGGAGAGGAAACAAAAGCGCCGACTCTAAAACTGTGGATGCACTGGCCAGTTAATAAATATTGTACTTTCAGATTGGATGATGTGACCGCATGCTGCACCTGATTTTGGTAAGGCGTGGGAAGGCATGGGATGGGATAACTTGTGGGATGCTATTTTTTATTTCATCGCCAAAGATGATGTTGTAAATGTGGCCATCACACATTCGGTCGTGGTTTTAGATGTCTGAATCACATGGAAGTCTGTGGGAGGCAGCTGAGCAGACAGTCAAATCGTCAGACGCTCTTCTTGACATTTATCTCTAATGGATAAGGTTTAAAATTATCACAGTAAAGACAATATAGGATCGTCCTTTTAAAAACTCATCTTTCATAACAACCGCATGCCGCCTTTGGTTGTCCTGCAGTCATTAAGACAGAATTCAGGAAATATGGAATCCTTCCATTAGGGCAAGCAGCAGCTGGAATATCTTTCAGACTAGAGATTTCGTTCCTGAAAATCAAAGCTAGAATTGTTATGTTAGTGGAGTATATACCATGTTTTACATTAGTGTAAGCTAAATTTGAAAAAGATGCTGTGTCTCCAATAAAAGGCAGTTATAGAAAGATATAAAAAAAAAAAAACACAAAAAACTAAAGCTCACAGCGGATAAAAAGGACACACTGTCTTTGGTATGGAGAATTTGGCTCCGCTGAATTTAAATATTTATCATATAATTTTTATATCCGAGTCTTTATGAGCACTAACTTTTATGCATCCCTTCTGGAAACAATAAAAAAAAAAAATGCCCTATTTTGGAATGCTAACTCTATTCAGCATTCCATCACAGGGTGCCATTTAAATAACAGTTGCTTTCATGAAAAATAAAAAGTAATGGCATGTTCCTTTATGTATTTAAATTTTCAAACACCTGCCATCAAAGCAGCAAACAGTGCAGCCTGGCTTCAGAGATGTTTTTAGACTTTTTCCAATTTCTTCATAAAAGCCTCCCAAGCAGGTGTTCTTTTCGAGTCCAAAGAATAAGAAACGTTTGGGAAAATCCTTTTTCGGAATTTCCCAGAGAACACGTGAAAAAAAGCGCTAAGCTTTCATTTCAGGTGCCAGGGATTTGGATCGAGTTTAAACAACAGCTTGTGCAAAACGTCAGAGCTCCCATTCTCTCACGCTGAGAAAGGATGGCTTTGGACACCCACAACGCAGGTTACCGTTAGAGATACAATGCGAAGGGCATCAGCCAACCAACTGCAAAGCAAGCTGATTGGCTGGAGAAGAAACAGGCATTATCTTCTGCAAATTCAGTGTGACATGGAGAGTGAGACAGTGACTTACATAGTCCCACTAAACAATAATTACCGTATTTTTCAGACCATAAGACGCTCCGGACCATAAGACGCACCAGTTTTTAGAGAAGGGAAATGAAGAAAAAAAGATCCTGAAACAAATAGTGTCCTAAAATATTTTATGTGCATTAAAACCCAACATCACATTCATAAACACAGGTAATCAACCCTGTAAAGTAAACAGCAGCATTTAGAACCATTTTAGAGACGGGCAAGCACACAGAGACCACACAGAGCCGGGCAAGTAAAAAAACTTTTTTTTTTAAAGTATATGTGTAGGCTATATTTGGACCATAAGACGCAGGGACTTTTTCCCCTCACTTCTGGGGGGGAAAAAAGTGCGTCTTATGGTCCGAAAAATACGGTAATACTTCCCTTATCGCTCTTCTTTGTTGTTGTTGTTAATCCTCACCTGAGAATATTTTTCCCCATGGATTTTTAGAGAGAGTGGAAGGGAGGGGAAGAGATAGAGAGGGAAACACTGATGAGAGAGAGAGAGAGAGAGAGAGAGAGAGAGAGAGAGAGAGAGAGAGAGAGAGAGAGATTGGTTACTGGGGCAGTGATTGAGCCTGCAACCAAGGTACATGCTCTTGACTGGAATCTAACCCAGGACCCTTCAGTCCACGGGCTGATGCTCCAACCACTGAGCCATACTGGCTAGGGCTCCTTTCTTCTCTTAAATATCCAGTAAGTCAAGCAAGAGTCTAAGTTCAAAGTATGTGGGAAGTGTATCCATTCCCCACATTGTTTTTGAATGTGATTCGTCCCGGGTCCCTCTGGCAGATAAACCTCCAGGCTCTATCCTGACTAACTGGCATTTAACATGACAATTTGTAAATTCACACATGTGTTTATGCTAAACTTGGAAGTTACATAAGTTCTTTAGTGCACATTCCAAATATTGTGCACAAAGTACCTTCCAGAGTATTCCTTCAGCTATGATCTCATATAGCAATCTGCATTCTTCATCTAAGTACTTTTTGCTTATTTTCTCTGAGTGGATAAAGGTCCCTTCGTCAATACCTATAGACTTCTGTTGTCCATGATTTTAACTTGCATAACCTGTATTAACACTATGCATTGTTCCTTTTAACCCCTATCTAACCAGGTAAGAATTCCTCAGTCCAAGTCACATAAGATTACTTATGGATTTCAAGGAGAAAAATAAGAGAATGTTACAGCTTGGTGGCTATATAGACATATCATTTCTTTTCTCACAGAAATCCCAGAATATTCTGGGAAACTCACCCTTTCAGAGAATAAAATCAGATGTGGTGACATTGAATGTGGAAATGATGATGTGGATTTTGTTTGATGTTGCTCTATGACCTTTTGGCGTTACTAGCTCACATATCATTAAACTCAGGGATAGAGAGAATGTAAGGGGATCCAGGATCTTGGATGGAAAAAATATTACATCTTTAGCTTCACTAACCTCAAGCTGAAATTTAGTATTTAATGTCATTAAAATGGATGTCACAAACCACAGTATCTGGGATTTTGTTGCCAAGGATAATGGCAGATATTCTCATATCATACCATTGTAGTTATCTTGAAATACCTTTGACCCTCATCACTACTTCAAATGATGGTATTAATTAATAGAGCACAATTCACAATTTTTAAAAAATTGGCCAATATATTTCAATAAGAGTGGTTTCCTTTGTAGTCTTGCAGACCTTATCTTATGCCTTTAAAAAACAGCATTCTGAGAAGAGTGTATAGGCTTCACCACGCTGCCAAAGAGGCCCATGGCACCCAAAAGGTTAAAACCCCTGAAACTACACACGAGACAGTGCATAATGCAACAGCCAAGTTCCTAGAGTAAATCGTTCCTTGCTAATATTTTTTGAAGCTGAAACAAACTTGACCTTGAAGCCACACAGTCTCCGTGTTGTAAATAGATGATTCTGATGAGAGCTATTTCCCCCTTATTTTGCCCTAAGAACAGACTGGATTCTAAAGCATCTCCGCTATCGTCACACAGGTTGTTTTCTTCTAACGATGAACTTGATCATTGACGTGTTGCTGAATTGTTCTCTTATATCTCCCACTGCTGGAATGCAGTCTATTTTGTAAGAGCATTGAATAGGGTCATTTTATAACCTTAATTTAAAACATTATAGAAAGAGCATCAAGAAAGCTATTTGGAAAAGTATAATGAGAAGTCCTTATTTTGAGTTAAAAAAAAAAAAAAAAGTAAACATCGAAGTTCCCCACCAAAGACAGTGCTTTTATATAACAGAGAGCGTGGTCCTATCCATGCTCATTTGAATTGCAAATCAATTAGCATATTTCTATGGATATTAAGACTATGACCTCTGAGTTATAATTATGAGATAAGTTAAATGAGATGATGCCTCAATAGAGTTGCCTTCAGTAGACTTTTTAGAAAATGCTCCATGGAGTCTCTGACCAAAAATAGTCATTATCTAATGCCAGCAAGTTAAATGAATATTCACTCATTGAAAGCTATTGAGAAATCATTGATGCACCCACAATTACACACTTACCACTGAAGTTAAATACTGTTCAAAATGCTCATCTCCAGAGTAAAGAAAACATAATCAGAGAAACGAATAAAGAACATAAAAAATAAGAACAATATAGTCTTTCATTAACTTGAGATATAGTTTACATATCATAAAATATATATTTTAATACACCTAATATTAAATGTATAATAAATGTATCATAAAATATATATTTTAATATACATAATATTAAATATATAATAAATGCACTAACTTGAGATATAGTTCACATTATCATAAAATATATATTTAAATATACATAACAAGAACCATTATTTTCTAGTCATCAAAAGAGCAGGTGCATTGCATGTGCTGCTTTTAAACCTGCGCTATGTTTTCCTGTAAAACTTGTGAGATTTAGAAACCGATTGTACATCGGGGCTTTGATTAACTTCAATACCAGAGGTTTTCCTTGAATTATAAGCCACATAATGATCCAACTAGTTTACAACGATAGAAAATGCAAGATTATTAAACTTGGGGAGAAAACGAACTACAATAAGGCACATAAACCCACTGGCATTTTATAGTGTTATAGGAATAAAGAAATAAAAGGCCTTTCTAATCAGTTATCAAATTATTCATTCAAGACTTGGAGCAAATTCTCAGTGACTGTATAGTGGTTGAATTAAAGTACATCTACCTATGGTAATCTAGTTTTAGGGCTACTGTTTTCTTGTAAAGGAATTATTTCCATTTTTAAACATAAAAAATAGGTGATATGACTCCTCAGTAAAGACCCTCCAATGCTATTCTCGTCACAGCTGAATGCTCAGAGGAAGATGCTGAAAACGTGCATTTTGCTCTAACAGCCACCAAGCAACTGCGGGCACACATGTCAGAGCTTCCACCCAACTTCCTTGGCGCAGTCCCGGGTATTTTGTTCTAAACAGGAAGCTGTTGACAGTTTTCCCTGGTATTTTCAGATTACCCTACTTATGAGCAAAGCCCCAACTTCTGTTTCAAAGTATAATGTTCTTTCCCACTGTGCCTATTGTTGCTAAGTATGAATGCTGCAAACGCGATGGAAACCAAATTCCAAACTATTCCGGGATGATTCAGAATGGGGCAGCGATTGTAAAAACGGCAAAGTTAGCAGCATATTGCAAGCTTTGCTGGAGTCTTTCAACCCAAAACAATGAGGGGAGGATTCCTGGAATCCGATGGGGGCATATTTGGCTCAGACTGCAAAAATCCGCATCTCTAACTAATGCCATGCTAGCATGTGTGGAGCAAGGAAGACACTTACATTTTAACCTACTTCCAGAACACGAATCCAAATGTAACCAAATTGCAGAAACTGCACAAAATTAGCAGCTTCCCTGGGTACAACAATAATTGCTTGTGAAGACACACTTGCGGGAGGTAAGAGAGAGGAGAAACCACTATGATCTATAAAACATCTAAGCGTTTGTGCATAAAGGAAACGAATTACCTCACACGGAAGAAGTGCAAGCTCTAACAGTCCATGCTCTGCAGCCCCGGGAGGCAGCGGCGGCAGCGGCAGGCAGTGGGAGCGGCGTGAGGAGCAGCAGCAGCAGCAGCAGCAGAGGCGGCAGCAGCCAGCATCCACCAGATTCTCCCAGGCCTTTGACTATGTGGACTCAGCCACAGACTCTGCCTCCAGCTGACGTCAAAGTCCCTGTCACATGGCCAGATGAAAGCCAAGAGAGCATTGGTTGTCGTAGCAACCACAGAACAGCTCTGAAATTATTTCAATAGGTCAACTGTCACTGTGATGTGTCTGTGTGTGTACACACACACACACACACACACACTCACTCACTCACATACCCTGTAGCCATCACGGACAGCTCCTTCAACCCCCCCAAGTGGTGACTCAGGACTGCCTCTAACTTTCCTCTCTGGGACTTGCGTGTCTGTTCTTAGCTGTGGCTTGCAGGAAAATGCATGCCACTCTCAAGTCGCCATCGGTCTTGCTTTACCAGCACAAAGCATGTGTCTCTATAGAACAGAAGGACAGAAACTGAAAAAAAAAAAAACCCTGGTGGTGGTTTTCTGAGCTAATTAGATCTATTTGTAAGCAAATGGGCAAAAACAGCAGCTCTAAGGGGAGTTGGAAAGAAAGGCATTTTTAACACTGTACAAGAACCCAGTCCATGTACTGAGCCGTGCCAAGTACGGAGAGAAAAAACAAGAAACAGGGGTGCTGGCCCAGAGTCAGATGAGGAAATCTAATAACCCTGACACCCCCTAGGATGGGGAAATCGGGTGAGATGAATTCAGAACTCTTGCATCGCAAAATGTCTATGCAAGGATGATGGCCAAAGAGTTTCAACCCCGCGCTGCTTTAAGACAACCTTTGTAAAATTTTTTGGACCTTTACTTTGGGATCACCATACAGGTGCCAAATCCTCTCCTCCTACAAGCTCCAGTCCATCCCCCTCGGGGCTCAGCGTGGAGTCAATGGCTGAGTGTTCTGCCAGTGCCAAGTTCAGCGAAGCCTCCAGCGGCAGAATAAAAACAGTCCCGTCTGTTTTCTAACTTCAGCTTCAATTCCTCTAGGACGAGCTAGCTTACTTCTAGCACCACACACACACGCTTCCTTCCCAGTTTATTCGCCCTCTATATAACAGAAAGCCAATTACACAAAACGAAATAAAGTCTACTCTACAGGAAGGTGCTCTGAAAAACACACGCAGAAAACACATAGTCCTTCAAAGGGCACAAGAGAGAAGAGGCAAGGGGAAGAGACTGCTCTGAAAACCCTAAGCTAGCCTAGGATCCTATCAGGATTCCTATTCTGGCGTCATTTTAAATAAAGGGGCAGCTCTGGGTGTTGTAGAATCTCAGGGGAAACTCAGCCAGCTGGGCAGATTACATCTTTTAGATCACTCTAAAAGAATGCCATTTCTTCAGTCATTCATTGCTTCTTGAACAATAAGACTAATGTCCAAGCTGATTGGCATGGAATCTTCCTAGTCCATCTTCCTCTCTCTTGACCTCTGTCCCAGCTCCAGTGGGGAGGGAGAAAAAATGTATTATATTTTCATTTGAAAAGCTATTTTCCTGATGTTATTAGCTGGAGCACCGCTAAAGTAAAACCAAACCGCAATGCTTCCCCTTTAATTTCAGGTGAACGACAGCAGGAATTCACCTGTTTGCGCAGAGACATCTGGCTCAATGAACCCAACGCCTGTCTAAATGGGTCAGGATGTGTCACTGATGGCAAATTTCAGTTAACAGTCACAATTGCAGAATTTGCAATTTGTCGAGTTCTGATTCTCTGTTCCGAAATGCAATCCTAGTAATGAGGGGAATGCGAAGAGAGGGGAGAAAGCGTATCATTCTAGACTTTCAGAGCCCCAGGGCCTTGAGCTTCCCTGCCTGCCTTATCATTTCCCTGACTCCAATCCCGGCTGCCTAAACTCTTCCCCTCACGCAGATCCAGCATTGAAGAGTAAAACTGCAGTACCACTCTTTGCCAATAGGGGATGTCCTCTGAAATCAGGAGCTCTTGGTTCTAAAAATTCCTGAAAGTCATGGCTTTGATGAGTTTCGAATTTAGCAAAAACTAACAATTCTTTTAAAAATTTCTATTCCTTTTAACACTAAATATATTTAACTCTATATTGACTTGATCTTAACTCATTATAAGTTAAAGCAATCAGTGGACTGGCTTTCCATATGTACAGGGGACGCCGCCTGCGCCTGCTTCCAGCCTGCCATTCCTTATTTCCCTTTGCCAATCAGGAGGATCAGCTATGCCTCTTACAGCTAAGGAAGCTACCGGTCCCCTGTAGGGTTGAAATCGTGATGGGGATCTCTGTGGAGCTCAGAATTATATCAGTTTGGCTCATTAACCCATGTGTAGCTTGGAAAGATCACAGGAAATACACACGGGGGCCTTTTCCGATAGCAGCCCACACGTTGAAGGAATATGCGTCACTTTACTTTTTTAAATGACAGCTCACTTTTTAGGTGAAAGTGACTCACTGAATTTAAAAGATATCCATTCAAAAATCCATCTGCATTAGAGTTTAGACTTGCCGTGTGAGCGTCAAAGCTGCAGATTATTAGTCTGACCACTGGGCCGGAGGTAACTGGTAAATGCCGCTAAGCCAGTCTGACTTGGGTTCACAGACCTGAATGAGCAGGTGGGCATGAGCAGGTGAGGATAACCAGCCTTTTATTGATGTTTCTAGGTAGAGACATTTCTGTGTCACTGCTCTAGCATCCGATGGACATATATTTTTGGAGGCACTGGGTGTAAGTCTCATCTGGGCAAATTACTTGAGTTTTCTGAGCTTCAGTGCCTACCTCCCAGGGTTGCTGTGAGGATTATGAAGCTAATGTACCTGGTGTTCTAGAATTCTCACTCCCAGCCACAGGGTGGATGGCTCCAGGTACGTCATTTCTTGCTTATGTCTGACTCTGGAAGTCTTAAAAGACATTCAGGGAAAGAGTGGGGTATGATTCATCTCTGCAACTCTACAGTTAGTACACGGCCTGGAATATAATATGTGCTCAATAAATGTTGTGTGACTCAAATATTGGGAAATAAATGCTGTGCAACAGAAAGAAGTGGTTCCTGTGTCTTCCCACCAACAGAGAATAGAAAGCATTCCCTCACCCCCACCCCACCCCTGTCCCCTGCAAAACACGCAAAGGAAGAAAAAAGATAAACAAAACAAATTTTGACTTATCACAACATTTTCTAGCAACTAATGGGCCCAAGTCAGTTTACCAAGGAAACCAAACTTATCTCTACTAGATCATAAGTACTTATTATGAGTGTACGTAAGTTATAGGCGGATGTATTTTTTTTTAATACATTTTATTGATTTTTTACAGAGAGGAAGGGAGAGAGATAGAGAGCTAGAAATGTTGATGAGAGAGAAACATCAACCAGCTGCCTCTTGCACATGCCCTACTGGAGATGTGCCTACAGCCCAGGTACATGCCCTTGACCGGAATTGAACCTGGGACCTTTCAGTCCGCAGACCGATCGATGTTCTACCACTGAACTAAACCGGTTTTGGCTAGGCGGATGTATGGCTATTGCTATTGATATGGCTACTGCTATTGATATTGGATCGTCTTTTGCATTAATTGAGCACTTACTGTATGTGGAACATTGTCCTAAATACTGCAGACATATGAAATTATTTACGGTGATACCCTGTGAAGCAGGTACTAGACTTTTTCACATTTTACAACTGAAACTTCAGCACATCAAGACTAAGTAACTTGCCCACCTTCTACTGGGCAGAGTAGGATCTACATCCCAGAAACCTGGCCCCATACATTTTTGGAAGTAACTTACATTTTATAGATGCTTAGAAAGAATTGAATTATTTCTGATGTTTATTTTATACTTGAGTTTTACTTTCTTATGAGGAGGAGGAAGCTGACTTATCTTTTCTGAGTCTGGGAACTGTAATGATCCCTAATCTAGCTTAGGCCTAAGGAGTGATAGGGCAAGAAAAATATAATCAGAACAATTTGAAACAAGGGAAATGGACCAAGTAAAATAGTGAAAATATCCTGAATAAAATGGTGTCCAAATTAGTATAGTCTTCACTGAAGCAAATATTGAGATTGCACAGGCTTGGGTAACTTTTGGTGGAGTTTCATGTGTTCAAACCAATACTCTCACTGAGATAATATTCACTGGATTTAAAAAAAATGATTGGAAGGCTTCAAAGGGCAGCAAAGGCAGAAAAATCGTTAAGTTCCAAGATCTCAGATGAAACAAATATATATCTATGTTTGTTCAATACTCCTCACATGACCTCTGCTTTTCTCCTCCAATTATTGTATATTTTTTTAATATATATATATATATATATATATATATATATATATATATATTATTGATTGCAGAAAGGAAGAGAGAGAGATAGAAACATCAATGATGAGAGAGAATCATTAATGGGTTGCTTCCTGCATGCCCCCTACTGGGGATCATGTCTGCAACCTGAGCATGTGCCCCCTACTGGAATCAAACCCAGGACCCTTCAGTCCCCAGGCCAACCCTCTATCCACTGAGCCAAACCAGCCAGGGCTATTGGATAATTCATAAGTGGTGTTGGCATTCTCAGGGACTGGAGAGACAAAAAAAAAAAAAAAAGTTGGAGTAAAAATATTCAAAGCATCCAGGACTGTAGGGATAAAAATTCTATTTTTAAAAAGGGAATCACAGAGAAGAAGTGATCCCAACGTTCTGAACAGTGTTTCTCTTGGAGCATTTGCCAGCTCCTAAATGGTGTTATATAAGAGAATAAGAAGTAGAGCATAAAAATACATCTAAGAGGATAAAAACATAAAGGGGGGGTTTAGCAGCCTTACAGCCTCGGGAGACAAACACAGGAGTACAGGCTCCTCCAAGGGGTTTGAGTTGGTAAACACCTTAAGTCTTCAGGCCTCATAACTGTAAGGCAAAGCCCTGGAAGTAATGGAAAACAAGAAATAGATACCCCCTCACAAAAGCCAGTTTCCATCCTGGAAGTATTGTAACACCTAAACGGATCAAGCTAATTTGCTCCTGTTGTAACTGCACTCCAGAGAAAATTAACCCTCTGTAAAAGAATATGACATCACCCGGAGCTCTTACTATTTTTCATACATCACTCTAACTCAATTCAAATTCATTAATCATGCCGGCAAACAGGTCTAACAG